CAGAACTTTCTGCGAGCCCAGCTGCGTCAACTTTGAACTTCCCTAGTGCTCCTTGACACGCACAGCCACTGCTGCTAGCGCCACCGTGGCTCTCTCAACAGATTGGCGCGTAGCCAGAGCACGTAGGTGCACGCCAAAGACGCCCAATCTACAACAAACTATCGAGATCATACGTATGCATGACATCGAGCTGAACTCCTCAGTGAGATGGATTCAGTCTTGCTAGTGGCATGTTGTGGTATGCGGCGCGCTATGGTCCTTTAAAGCATCGGCCTCGTTAGCATCTATAGTATGGGCGGTTCTCTCGGACACCCCATCAAATATTCTCAGGCAGCTTGATGATGGAGGCTGTGCGATGTTCATGCGATCCGACATATAAGCAATGAAAGGCCATATTGAGTCTTCAGCTCCTGAGCCCCAAGAGTTGGTACTGGTTGGTGAGTACCGACATCAGGATGGCGAAGACGTTAAACTAATCTAATCGTGCTTCTTGCTAGCCTGGCTTTTGTAACGACCTTTCACGCATCTTTCTCCACACCCACTGCACAGATTTCACTATCATTATACGTGACTGCCAATCTCCTCGGTCCTTAAGTTTGCTATCCATCACTATGCGCGCGTTTGCAGCGGTCGCTCTTGCCCTATCCGCTTTTGTGGTGCTAGTAATGTCCAAACCATCGCTGTGAGTGACAGGGGGGACGCCTGGCACAAAGCATTGATTCCATTTCTTCCACAGCTCCGAAAGTACTGGATTGTTTACACGAGAATTCGAGTACTCCAATCCCTATGATTCACAATACTATCAAGATGACATGAGACCCGCTCGTGCTCGGTACTCGACTCATCGTCCTGACGAGTACAGCCACTCACGCCATCATTTCCATGGGATGGATCGCCACCGAGCGCACGAGTACTATGGCCACAGCTACCACAGATATGATTATACTCACCGCCCCTCTCACCGCCATTCGGGTCATGGGTATGATGAGCATCGGTATGCGATCCTACCGTTTCTGTCAAACGTTCCTTAACTAACGTTCGTATAAGTCGCCACTATCAGAGAGAGTTGATGGACATCTTTGCTCGCGCGGATAGCAGCAGTCTATGCAACAATCAGGCATTGCTGCAGCAATTGGTGGCGCAATCGGGTTTGGACCCCTCCACTCAGTACGTTTATAGCTTTCACTGTTGTTACTTTTGTTGACTTAGGTGGCACGCAGAATATCCTGCTCCTGATTTGACCTGAGGAAAAGAGATGTGGTATGATGTAGTATAGCTTAATACTAGTAGTTCTCAGGTGTATTCTGTATACATCAGTACACATATGCAGTGGTTCCTGTGGAGAGTCATTTCTGAAGATGTACGTCTTCCATCTAGTGTTTCGGTGAAGTTCAAGTGCTTCAAACAGGTAAGTTGAGATCAGTAGATCTGTGAGCATTGAGATTATTACTGTTAGTACTACTAGTGGTGCACGTGTGAGTTTATGCAATGTGTACAGTGCCCATAGCCTATCAGTATCTTCTAGTCGTACACCGGCAGCCATCGGCAGCGACAGCTAACTCTCTGACCTATCGTGCGTTTTTTGATATTTCCTCGACAGTACTACTCTTTTCGTCCTTGTGATTTTGGAGTCCTTTCGCCTTCCAGGATGCTAGACCAATCCAAACAGTTATGAATTCTTCTTCTCTAGGCAGCCCTTGATGTAATACAGTTACGGCTTGTGTACGACCGCCCTTCAAGCTTCGAGGCTTTCCACATGTTTCTCGGGATCAAGGCCTCCCCCGCTCAGAAGTTGCTTCTGCATATGATCTTGACATTCTCGATGCTTTGGCTGTGCTCGGGATTTAAAAGTGTCCCTCCGATACAGACCGTGCTGCAGACTAGACTGGGGAAGAGCTGTATGAGCACACACATATACTCCATTTTGAGTACTGACTTAAGTTATGGAAATATATGCGGGCGATGGCAAGATGCAGGACTTACCTTTCGTTTGTCAAGGCACCCGCGGTGAGACTCCTCACTATCATGCACGGAGGCGCTGATTCACGCTCATGGGGACATTGGATGCCCGCGACTTGTATACCAGGTATTTTGATGCTGGAGCTCACATGAGCAGTGTCATGTATTCGATCGTTGTTTTTGTCGGCGATATTGACCGCACAATCGTCCTCACGCTTAGGTCGTTCATACAGCCGTTGTGCGACTTTGAGTGGTAATACGCGAGCTTTTTTTTTGTGGAACTGACTTTTATAGATACTGAATGCCGGACACAAGGCACATCGCACAGAAGATACCTCATCCCTCAACCAGCATGACGACTATGTTTTCTTGACGAATTTCGTCCGAATATCGCAGACCACATTAAGTGACTAGAAAACAGTGAGTGAACGAGATAGTGCTACGAATTTGCTACGAATACTATGGGCAAGTGCTACAAACCGACGGGACAAAACAACACTATACTAACTACGGAACACCATTCAGCTATACATCCCATTACCGACGACTGACGAACCGAGTGCCACTATAATACTAGAATGCAAAACAGATAAAGTTACGGTTATCCGAGACTTGTGAGCTACAAGTCATCTTCTGGATCCCACCGCGAGATCTTGCCCAGAGGCCGCCAATAATACTGCTTTGACTTCTTCGTCTCCGACCTTTTGCCTGGACGGGGCATCATACTACGGATGAGCGTCGCCCGCTCCTGATCATCATCCTTTTCTGGAACGTAAAACCATTGCGCTTCTAGCATGTGGTCAGCAGAGCCCTAGATGAATTGGACCATGAGCGATATGTGCCACCATACGTGGCGAAGACTAGACTTACTTTCCCATTGTTTTCCACCTTGTCAAAGACACCACTGGCCTTGCATCCAGTCTCCAAGACGTCCTCAATCACCGCTATCCATTCGTTTTTAGACATACAGCCACCAGTACTGATACTCGGAGAATCTTTGAGTGCGGGCCGACTCGCAATGATGCCATTATAAAGGGATGATGCTGGAAGAGAAGATGCTCGAGAGGTGGCTAGCGTCTCGATGAGCATGCCTTGCAGCTCAGTCAGAGGAAGAGGTAAATCGATGCTCCTGCTCAGGCTCGGGGTGGGGGCCACAACATGTTTGAGCGAGTCTTGACTCGACCTTTGCTTGTTCAGACGCGAAGGCGCGGAACTAGAGGCGGATGTTTTCACAGATGAAGACGGGACAGTGTTCTCTCCCTCCTCTTCAGCAGTACATTCCGCTTTCCGTTTCATCTCTTTCTCTGCTTGCTTCGCAGCTGTTGTAAGCCCAAGCAGCCTCCCTTGTGAGGACTTGTTCTCCTTCTCTCGCTCGCCCGCCTTAGCTCTCACTTTAGCTTTCGCTGCTACATCCTCTTCCTCGGATTCAGAGTCGGAAAGAACCACTTTGAGTCTCTTCTTGGAACGTTCATTCGATCCTTCCTTTCTTCGCTTGACTTCTAACAAACTTTTGTCCACCTTTCCATGATCCTGCCATGTGGTTGTAGGCTTGGAGCGAGGTTTGCCAGACGTACGTGTAGGCTCACGAGCCCCGTCGTTACGCGGCGGATCATGACCTGGGCTGGCTGCACTCGTTTTGGAGGCCACGGGATGCGATACCCTCGGGCGCTTTCTCTGACGCTGGCCATCGTCTTTCGACCTGACTCTTTTCTTGGAGTTGAGGCCATCCTTGGACTCCGAGGTTGTAGGTGCGGCACTCGATGATGGCAATGGACACCGTTGTGCTGCGTGATTACGTTTTCGCTCGCCTGTGTGTTTCCGAGGTCGGCGGTTTCCAACAGAGGAATCTACAGCAGGTGGTCGAGAGGGACTCGAAGCAACGTCTTGCACACACAGACGAGGTGAAGATGGCGGCGTAGACAGAGGAGAGGATCTGGGGCTCGAGGGGAAAGCCCTGACATGAGCTTGCGTGTGACAGAGTGACAGTGGGGACGAAAGCGGAGAAGAAAACTGATAGTCGTTCTCGGGAGTCGAGGGGCGACTAGGTGTTAGAGATACCAAAGGAGATGATCTCGCATCATCGATGACATCCTGCAGCAATACACATTTCTATAAATGAATTAACTGCAGTATCAAAAGACGCACCCCATCAGACACGCTTGCATTATCGTCAGCAATAGCATTTACTTCCAACATAGCTGCGCAGTCACCGTTCAGTGCACTGACCCCAAACGATGGCAATGGAAGTTCAACGGATGTAGACGCGAACTCCACGTCAAGAGGAGAGTTTACAGGCGAGTGAACCTCGACGAATGCGCTCGGTGGTTCATGCGTATCATTGTGGAGTCTTAGAAGCAACGACGGCTTAGACATAGAATCTGGCTCAGGAGTAGGATTGAGCAGGGAAAACAAAGACGATGTCGACCGAACAAATGAACGGGCGGAAGGCGTAAAAGGACAATCCTGTACAGCATTGTGCAGTGTGGGGGAATAATCTTGACCTCCAATATGCATACGGCGGGTCATAGGCGTTTCATCAACCAAATCCATCGATAAGGATGGTGATGGAAGCATAGAGGATCGTCTATGAGATTCAAGAATACTGGATGACGGTGTTGGTGTTGGATTAAAGGCTTCGGAGAAATGTGAAGACAGATCCACGGGCATCAGAGGAGAAGACGGTAATGGAGGTACGAGGCTGGCGGAAGTAGACGGCGTGCTAGGCGTCGCACAAAAGTAGCTCCCAGAAGGTCCATCTAGCCGTAGTAAGGGCTGACGATTACAGACATCCGAAGGCATTCGTGACATGGGGAGTGTGGGAATGGGGTCTGATCGGCTGTTCGTTCGCGGGATGGGGCGCGTCATCGTCAAGGTCGTGCTGTTATGTGCAGGCGGGCAACTTGTCGTACGACCACCAAGAGAGGCCCTTGGCCGGACGAAAGGCTTTTCGCGCTCGGCAGAGGTTGAGAATGATATACGGCGCCGATGAAGGAGTATGTCCATGTCGAACATCATATCATCCCCGTCATCGATGGGATCTACAACGGAGAGGAAGGGAGAGGGAAGGTGACAAGGATAAGTTATCAGTCGACTATACTCGTTCGCAGCGTGAAACATGTGAAGGGAATCTAGTGGGACCGAGAACAGAAGTATGATTCGCTCAAACTGCGCATAGTTAAGCCAGACTGAAGCTCAGAGACCAGTAGCGCAGAAAGGCTCCAAAACGATGCGCAGACGCGCTCAGGTAGACGCCTACGGCAGCCCTGGGATGACCCGATGAGAAATAACAGCCATACTCTATCCGGTGGACTGGTATGCGACAAAACACGAGGCAGAATGATGGTTCGCATGTATGGAACAGGGCTCTAGACTCCGAGGTGGATCGCCCACCAGGATAGTGCGTGTTTGCACGGCAGGTAAGCGATATAGCTTAAAAGCCTTCGTGCCGTACAGATGACCGGAGTACGAGATCACCAATCATAAAGGACATTCCCCGGAAGATAAGCCTTGAGAGAAGCCGCGAGACACTCACCATCATCACGAGCTCCGTGGTCCCCGTCCTCCAAGCCGTCCACGCCATAATCGGAATTCAAAGGTAACTCCTCCGAAGCATCAGACGGAGAATGGTGCGGATTCCGAGACGCGAAGCGCACATCAAGAGAAGGAAGCAAGGGTGAGAGCGGTACAGTGTAGCCCGTGCGCACATACGCCGAATACGCGGAGCACTTCGGGTGCAATTCCAAAGGTACGTCTTGATAGGTAATTGCGTCTGCAGCCTCATCGTCGTGCAAGTCGCGCGCATGGACGGCGTATTCGGATGCTCGACCGTGAATGGGGCTAGACTGTTCCCGGATTCGAGCGTACTCAACAGGAGAGTTTGGGATGCTGCTTAACATAGCAGATGATGCGACAGGCGAAGACGACGCTGAAGAATAATAAGCATCGGCCTGGTATGGATAGGGTGTGTAGTAGGACGCGTTGCGCCGCGGCGGGGGAGAGGACGAGCACGCGTTGGATGGGGAATGCGCAGAAAGCTGGTCTTCGACGTCGGAAGCAGTTAAACTCTTGCGACGGTACTTCAGCGGCAGGGCTCGCAAAGGCGGCAAAGAGGACGCCATTGGGGCACAACGGCAGTGAGGATGGCGAGCGCAAACTCAGCAAGATGACGGATGAGGATAAGAGGACTTCATCACGTGGAGAGGCCAACATGAGCGCGTCGGGGATGTATGCTCATGTTTGTTCGCTCACGTGAAGCGCGTGTCGCCGATGACGCGCCCACCGACTTGGCGCTGAGGCCTGCCGAGCCGCCACCACTCGGAACTCACAACTTCGACTACTGAACGGGTCTCTTATAGTCTGCAACGATACGGCTCATCCTCGTCGTATTCGAAATACACTCTACCCAGTTGTGGATGTATCTGATTTTCCGCATATCTTCACGAAGATGAGACTGTTTCACTGCCTGGCTGGTACAGTACATATTCCATCTAACTTCTGGTGGTTGATGACAATCTGGCAAACCTTACTGAACTTCTTTTCTTGTTTCCGGCATTCTTTCTGTCAAAAAGCAATGAACTTGTTCCTATGACCATCCTCAGGATCTCCGAATCAGTCTGTGAATCATTATACATGCTCCAGAGTCGAGCACGCAGGTTCACATCGTAGCATCCATACATGAATACCTCTCGAGATTTCATGAATTTACACATCCAGCCGTCTTTTGATCCTTAGAAACACAAACTGGCACGACGGACAGCTGACAGTCACAGACTTAAATACCTATTAGCATCTCGGAGTGTTATCGCAGTCACACGCGACGTCATGCTCATCACCGACGGAGTCCCATGCACTCCGCCCAGGTGGCTGAGTACAAAAGCGGGTGCGTTTCCGTCTTTTTTTACGAAGCATATAAAACCTTGAGAACGGTTCATATGACGCGGCCTGTCATATTACTTCGTTCCCTACGTCGGTCTCCTGTCAGCTTCCTCGCACTCCCGCGCCCTCATACATCAATCGTCCGCAGACTAGCAACAATGCCGCGCACAACGGAGACCGCGAGCTTCAAGGTATGAGTATCACCCCATGCACAGGCTCATCACAGCTTATTGACCTCGGTCGAAGTTCAACCACACCATGTTGCGGGTGAGGGATCCCGAGGTATCCATCAAATTCTACACCGAGGTACGCCACATAGGTGTTTATAGCTACAGTGGTCGAGTCTCAATGATACTTCATGCCAGATCCTCGGGATGGACCTCATAGATAGTACGTAGTCCCCTCTTTTCTTCGTCTCCCCCTTCATCTCCTTTCATCATCCGACTGCCACTGACCCTGCTGGGCCGCAGAGAAAGTCAACGACTCGTTCACACTTTACTTCCTCGTCTTCGAGCACGGAAGCGAGGTCACGACCGCGGAGAATCGCTTTGGGCGCGAGGGTGTCCTTGAGCTCACGCACAACCACGGGACCGAATCCGACCCTAATTTTGCCGGCTACGCGTCAGGGAACTCAGAACCCGGCCGCGGGTTCGGCCACATTGCACTCACTGTTGACGACGTCGACAAGGCCTGCGAGCGTTTCGAGAGACTTGGTGTGAAGTTTCAGAAGCGGCCGTCCGACGGCAGGATGAAGAACATTGCATTCATTCTCGATCCCGACGGGTGAGTGTCTGCATCTCGTGCTGTGCGGAGGTCTCGCATCTGACATGGACGCGCAATAGCTACTGGGTTGAGATTGTCAAGGGCTACTTCCCGTGAGTGCTTTTCGAAGTGGGACAGAGACAAGGTCACGACAGTCGTGTACGATACGGAAGAACAACTCTCGGTGTAATCTCGAGGCTGTAAGATGCAACAACGTTAGCGAAATTGAACACTTCAATATAGTTATTCTCATGGACTCGTGCGCTCAGAATCTCCGTCGTACATGTGCTCCTCGATAGTGTCGATGTGCTGCCGATAACGTGGACAACCGTGACGTTGATACTTGATATTGTAACATCTTTGTTCTCTGCCTGCAATCGGGGCTCTCGGGAGAGTTGCACCGATCTATTTCTCGCGCAAACGGAATATCCTATCGATCATACATTCTCAATCGATCCATTGCAATGATTGCGTCATACCCCACTGCGTTGCGTGTCTCCTGTGAAGAGATATCCGAGCACCACGCACGTCTGTCCCCCTGAATCCCACCATACTATCGACCGACCATGGCCCCCAGCGTAGAAACAGCTGGATTTCAGGTGCATTCGTATCTGTTTATGATTCGGAGCGCCGGACACTGACGGTATCCGTTGTCCGCAATGCATGCGAACGCTTATCGCCGTGCAGTTCAACCATACGATGCTCCGCGTCAAGGATCCGAAGGTGTCGATTAAGTTCTACACCGAGGTTCGTCGACGACTGCAGTCTCTCGCATGACCCGCCACCCTCTGACACTGGCCCCTGTGGGGTGCTCGATGGGTGTAGGTCCTCGGCATGGACTTGATATCCCGTACGTGTCCTCACAGGAGTAGGCGTTCGCATCGTGCCGCCGACTTACCGACTTGCCTAAAGAACACAGCTTTGAAACGTTCACGCTGTATTTCCTCGCCTTCGACCACTCCGGTGGGACGCTCTCTGCAACCGAGAAGAAAAACTCGCGCTTCAACCGTGAGGGTGCGTACAGAGTGACCTTCTCACATTTCTGTCCCCCGCTCCTCTCTCCGCTCTCCTGGCCTGACCTCCTTATCCGCAGGCGTGCTCGAACTCACTCACATCCACGGGACCGAGTCAGACGCCAGCTTTGCCGGCTACGTGTCGGGGAACGTCGAGCCGAGCAGAGGCTTTGGACACATAGCAATCACTGTGCCGGACGTGGCCGTTGCGTGCGAGCGCTTCGAGCGCCTCGGGGTGGCGTTCAAGAAGCGGTTGACTGACGGGGTCATGAAGACGATTGCATTCATCTTGGACCCGGATGGGTGAGTGGCCGTTTTGTCATGTCTGTCGATTTCCCCTCGCCGTCGTGGCAATTGCGGCTCGGGGCTTGGTTGGAGCCCATATCGCTTGGTGTGAGAAGTGCGAGGATGCTCACGGCTCGCGGGTACAGGTACTGGATCGAGATCGTCCCGACGCGCCTCGTCCTCGGACCTGGCGATGAGTAGAGCGGCGGGGATGAAGAAGGAATGGAGTGCCGAAGTGGTGTACGAATAAGGTCACTGGCTAGGAGATGATGTTGTTGGTTTTATCGATGACCACACACGAATCTCGGGCATCCAATTTTACACCTTTTCTTGCATTCAAAGGCAGGTCAAGGAGCGCATATATAGCCAGCAAGGTAATATATTCGATGGGTGTGGCGGGACTTGGGCTGTAGTCTCGGACGCGATGTTTATTTCCTGTTGGCCGACGCATCGATTGAGATGTAATCATGAGAGCGAGACAGGAACGAGTGCGGTGTCGGATGAGGAACGAGAGGCGAGGACGCTGGTCACGTGGGGGCCAGGCAGCCCTCGACGTCAGGGGTGGAGCATTCGATCGCCCCCGTTGTCTGCCAAGCCTGTTACAAAAATACGCGGCCGCACTGTCCGCCGCCACCGGTGAGTTCTCCCCCCGCAGCAGCAGCCGCTCCCTGCTTTCTTTCTCCACACCATGAAGACGGCCATCCTCATCGCCCTCGGCCCTCGCCATCGCGCAACCCGCACCTTCCTCCTCGTCGCCGTCTCCGCCACCACTCTCCTCCTTTACTCTCTCTACTCATCCTCCTTCTCATTCTCCCACTCTCTCGATGTCATTCGCTCTACCTTCTCTCCCCCCGCCCGCATCCGCGCATCCTGTCCCCCCACCGCCTGGGCAGCTGGAGCTTGGACTCCAAAGGCAGAGTACACCCTCCCCTCGCGCGTGGACGGCCCTTGGCCAGACGATGTCATCGTCACTCGTCCCGACGACATGCGCATGCACAGTCCCGCCGACGCCCTCGCATTTGCCGGCTTCGAGGGCTGCGCGAGCAACCGTGAATTTTACTGGCATCTGGCCTCCGACAGGGAAGACATTTGGGATCGTTGGCCCGGCGTCACCAGCTGGCAATGGACGCCTGGCGAGGGCTGTGATTCTGTCCGCCCCTTCAGTGGTCCGGCGATCGTCAAGGACCTGGTCGAAAATGGTGGCTGGCTGTTGATCGGAGGTGAGTGCCGCGCTCGTTGCTTAATTTTTCTTCGCATCGCTCGCATTCCAGTGCTGGCGTCCGCGCAGCAGTGTTTGGACGTCCATAGACGCACATGCAGATCATTGCATCTGCCCACGGCTGTTGATCGTTCCAGGCCTCTCGGGTGACGGCATACGCGGCTATCTCCTTTTGACGCGATTTGTGCGGCTGACTCGTGCAAGGACTCGCCATAAAGCATCCTGTTACTTCGTAGAGGTGATGGTCGGCGTACAGCGCCTTGACATAGAACGGCTACGCCTTTCTTGATGGCGCCAAATCGCGTGGGACAAGGTTTTGTATGCTGGCCGTCCTAGCATAGGACACCTATGATTCCACTCCGAAATTCAGTCGGATTTAGAGAGCTGGAGCTGGGACACAACGAACCCATTATGTCTCAGCTCCAGGTCAAAACGACTGGATTCGGTCCCAGTTAGACGAATCCTGGCGCCGAATTGTTACGGATATCCATTCCTGGAGATATACAGTCAACATATGCGAGGCTAGATGATCATATTTCACTTTCTTACCTGCCCTTACCTCACACGTACTGACGTCTCACTCCCAGATTCTGTCACGGAAAACCATTTCTTCTCACTGTCGTGCGTGCTCTATCCCCACGTGCGCGCGACACCGGACTACTCGGCTGGAGGCGGATTCGACCGTGCTTGGCCACAGAACTTGTACCTGAATGCATCCTCACCATTGATCCCGCACCTGAAACTGCCCAAAGATTTCGACATTGCTACGACGCCGCTGGTGACGTTCCGGCGAGTAGATCTGCTATTGGAACAGGCGGAGCTCGAGGAACTGTACGCGGAGCGCACCAAAGGCGTGCCCGAGGGTGAACGACGAGCGCTGTTTAGCGAAGAGCAGTTCTGGAGCCTAAGTCCCACATTTTATGTACGGGAGCTATTCCTAGAGAAAGCGCCGGTAGCGCACTACAGCACCTTGGTGATAAGCACGGGTGGACACTGGACGACGACGCTCATGGCAGGCTTTGCGGATGCATCAGCGCGAGGCGGAGGTATCGACGGGGTGCTAGACTTCTTTGGTGCGGCAATGACACGATGGGCGGAGCAAGTACAGGAAATGTTGGACGATTATGCACGCACGGCGGGCAGGGCAGAGCGGGGCACAAAGCAAGTTGTTGTCAGAGCGTATTTGCCAGGCCACGAAGATTGCCATGACGAACGCGAGCCGTGGACGGAGTGGAAACCGTTTGTGTGGAATTGGTACAACTGGGGAAGCATCGGAGAGTTCAACCAACTATTCGAGGTAAGCATGTTTCGCGCTGGAATGTGAGCAAGTATTGAAGGTGAACGCAGGACGTGCTGGAGAAAGACTCGAACGCGTACCCAGATATTCACTTCTTGCCGATCGATCGCCCGGCGCTGCTTCGCCCTGATGCAGTAAGTCTCACTTCGGGTGAAAAAGTAAACGAGTAGAATTGACCTGAGTTTTCACAGCACTCCTCGGGAGACTGTCTGCATATCATGACAGGTGCAGGCGTCCTCGAGGGCTGGACGCATTACATCTGGCACTATGTCACGCGCGAGCTTCCAGGGCGTATTCGCTGAATACAACAACGTCCTATTGGTGTTCCTCATCTGGACCTAACCTGCATATTTACTGGCGGCGGGTCCGTCTGCGAGATTGCCGACCTCAGCGCGAGTTTTGGTGGCTTCCGCGAAGAGGATCTAGCGATACCCTGGTAGCTGTGAGGATTGCATTTCTCGACTACGGCTGCTGGGGAAAGTATCCGAATCTCAAAACCTTTATAGTGGAGATGCTCGTACTAATGTGTGGGGGGTCGGATGACGGATCGGACTAGCAAGACTGGATCCGCGGACTTCATATATCATTCATTTGCTTATTTAGATTCTCGTACCCACATACCCTGTGCAATCGCATTGCTTTCCGTTGTCGACTTCTTGTGTGTGCGTTGTCGCCCTGAGCAGGAGTTGAGTAGAGAAAAAGTACAGTGCGCAGCGTTGCGCTAGAGTCGGATGAATCCCGATATTTATCTGACTTAGGGAGGCACGTGGTGTCTGCGCGACGTGGGTGGGTTCGGACGCGGTCAGTTCTCGCCGCTCTTCCAGCTTCAAATCTGAATCTGCAGTTGTACCAGTGTGGTGCACGACTGTTGCGTCCTCATAACGCCTGCGGATTCATTACGCGTTGTTTTTGCGACGGAAAGTCCACATGCTGAACGCCAGAACCGTTGCTCCTTCAGCGGTTTTCCAAGAACGCGGCGCGCTCTCTAGACTCCCGGCGCGATCCATTGCTTCTGGCGTCCCACTTGCCTCGGATCACGGGTGAAATAGGACAACTTGAAGTGCACTGAGACGATCGTAAAAAGAGCACACTGGAATCAGTACGGTCTCGAGGTGCGCAGTAGCGGTTGCTAATCGTCGCCCATCGGTCTTTCGCAGGATATTATACGCGCGAGCGCGTATGGGAAGACCGCCGCGAACCTCATCGACAAGTACCGCAAGAACGCGCAGTGCAATCTGGAGGCGGCGAAGGGCGCAGAGCCGAAGGCGTAACGCGTCCTACTCATCGTAGAGCGTGCAGCTGTCGGCGCGCAACGCGAGCCATGTTTGGTCTAGGTACGCGTTCTTTTGCTCGGTGTGTTCGATACAAATAAAGGTCTAAGACTGACGTGGAAAGGGCACGTTGTCGCAGTTCAGCATATTGTCACGCAAGGAGCCATCCCAGAGTCTGGGACGGAACATATGCTGTACCTCAGTAGCATTAGTGAAAGTCCTCAAAGGTAAGACTATTACGGGTAGCGAAGGCTTTCCATACCAAAGGATCCCGAGGATTCTGATAGCCAATCCGGAGTATTAGCGTTGGTGACAATACAGACCTAACACATTATGGATTCCGGGTCCATTTCGCGTATGCCATCTCCTCTCTGAGATCAAACTCAATTGCTTCATATATAACAATTTAACGGAAGTTAGCGCACAGGAACTTGTGGACAACGAGATCGACTATGGCGCACAAAGGTATCGAGATCAACTGCGAGCGCCAGCCTCTCTCTGTTCTTGGCAGCTTGATAACAGCTTGGTAAACCAATCCGTTCAGTGACAAGTGAAGACGCGATTTCCGGTGTCTACTAGTATACCTTTTCCCGAAAGGGTACCATGAAAATATGGCAATCCGCTGACACTGCCACTCGGGATGACTACGGGCCTCAAGGCTCAGCCTACGCAGAGATCAGTCAATGAGATTACGGCATAATCATGCCATTGGTCCGATAGCCCAGCGAAGACGTTCCTCCAACAGATATTCGCCGTCCAGGACTCATAGTCGAGGATATCAATGAGGATTTGCGCGAGTACAAGGGGGTACGCGGGCGAGAGGCCAGATCAATGGAGTGGCGAATGAAGGAATCATGTCCTCCAAGTTACTCAGATCGGCGAGACAGAGGTCGAATACTCGCAAAGGAACGCAGGTGAATGCAATCCTGAACCAGCGACGCAGCGACTCACTGTCAGTCAATGGGGTTGGGAGGAAGGACATGGTGAAATAAGATGGAGAATTGAATACAGTAATATCGGAGTGTGGCGCTGAGTCTCGGAGGTACCCCAGCGGGCTAGACGATGCATATGCCCGCATGGTGTCTGCAGTTTGCCGTCTGTCTTGCGAATGAGAAACTCCAGCGCATTTCATGCTGGCGCGAGTATAACGTAAACAATTGGCCCAATCCGAATCCAAGTGATGAGTTTTTGTTATGCCACTGGTCGGCTCGAGCTGATGTGACTTAGCATACGAGTAGAAGTGGATACTTTGGATAGTATAAATTTTCCTTCAAGTCATACCGTCGATGACATCCTTCTTTATAATGCTTAGGTATCTCAACAAATCAGACTATAATGTTTTGATATGAGAACGAAATGTGGCCCGTCATCAATTTTGTTGACTTACCAAGATAACGGGAGCTGTATCGGGCGCAGGTGGCACATTTGGTACACTCAAGAACAATACAACTTTACATTATTGGTGCCGAGTCAATTTACACGGCCGTAGCATCGAGGGAAAATGCATAAATCGGATAGTCGCCCCAGGCACTGGTCACCATCATCTCTCCTTTGAGGTCAAACCCAAGAGCTTGGTAGATAGGGACCTAGGATGTACAGCCTCAGTCATGTTCAAAGAGTAGAGAATGCGCACATGCATACATTGTACGGATTGGTGGCGGAGAGTGCCACTGTGTCGCCATTTTTTACTGCCTGTCCATGACAAATCGAGAAAGTTGTACGACGATCAACGCATTATATCCCGTACCTTCTCGCGAACCTGTGCAATTACTGATGTTGCAATCCCTTGGCCTTGCCATTCAGGAAGGACGAATATGTGGTTCATATACCACGAGTCAATTCTACCCTATGACACCTGTAAATCAAATCAGTAATCATTGATACCTATTGATTTCTTACTGTTGGTCCTAGTGTGTCTGCAAGAAAATCTCCAAAGCGTTTTCCAACCTGACATTGAGTAAGGATCACCTGGAATTTACCGATATGTACGTTTAAATTTTCTCACAGTTCCCCAAAACTCCTGCACATCTTTCGGCAGCTTTGCGAAGAAGTCATCAAAGCCTAGTGCACGTTGCTCCGGCCTACTAAATGAGCATCCTCAGCCGAAATAGACGGTGATCGTTGCTTACGTGCTCAGCAACACCTGGCCAGGGGGCAGACACAGCGCATAACCTACAAGTCGACCAGTACTTTCGTCTGTGGCCGCATAGAATTCACCAGCCAAGATGCCGGCCCGTATCCCAGCTCGCGTAAATGGGTGCATCAAGCTCATATCACCTCCGCAGAAGGCCTTCGTAGCCGGATCTAAATACAAGTGATATCATGAGTCATACTGTATAAATTTCGACAAATGTGCCTACCGTCGAACATGTTTGCCGCGAACACCTCAACCGCCTCTTCAATCTGCTCCTCTGGGTAATCCATGAACACAATATCGCGGCGGACAAGTCTGCACCCCACAGCTGTACCCACCAGACGGATTCAAAGTGTGCTTCACCGTAATATGTGACATAGCTTCACCGTCCGCAGTAAAACAACCAGTCCGAGAGGCGAGATGCGCCAACGCGATAAGAAGGAAGAAGAATCCGCAAAGGAAAATAGTGAAATGACGTTTTCTCTCTGCGTGTCCTAGCAGAAAATGGGGCATCGTCGATCTATGTAGGCAGCACTTTGGCAACACCGTATCCCGAACGATTGTTGATTGCTTATAATAGTTAACGGAAACAGTCTGGTCGGAATGATACGGCCTGCGTATTTTGGTGTATGGGTGTGAAGCTGAATGAACTTAGCACAGCTATGATACGGTACGTGCTCAGTTCATGTGACGACTGGTCTCGTACCCGATTCGTGCATGGGGTCTGTACAGTTCCGTCTTCTTTGCCGCGGGTGTTTTATGATATTCAAACTCAATCGACCACGAGAAGTTTCAGTTGGTGATACAGTATACGTTCGGTATGCATACACGTGTAGGCTAGCCGCCACGCATCTATTACTGTGACTTGATCGCCTAACCTTCTGCCATTGCGCCGCGAATCTTGTAGGATGCTATGGAGTTCGAAAGGGAGATGCGGTCAAGGTAAGGTTACCCGAAGATGCGAAAGGGCCCGGTTTCAAGCTCATCCGAGTCTGAAACGGCTGCGTCTCGTCCCAGGCGAATGACATTCGCGTGAGGCATTCGCGTGAGGCATTCGCGTGAGGCACCCGAGCTGCCACCTGTTGTTGTACGCGCAAGGCATACGCCCCCATATGCTTTCTGATTTTGTGATATTCTCGGCATCAAAGAAGCACTGATGAGTTGTGGGACCGAGCCAATCCTAGGTCAGGAACAAAGTGTCTTCGGCACATCTGGGTCCTGCATCAGCACGTTGCAAGTCCGTCCCGCTACTCCGTGATGCAAAACATTTCCTTTGTCTGACGCTGGGATGAGTACAAAAGCTTGCTGCATATTGCCGGGTTTCTCTAGCTCCTCAACATCTCATTCGAGCCCAGAAGTCGGTACTGGTTGGTGCGTAGTACCCCTTGATATCCCATCAGGATGAATCTGAGTCGACGAGGGCATCTTTCACAGCCTGACTTTTGCTTCGTTCATTTGTGCATTTCTTTTCACGATTTCTACCACGAGACTACCCTTTCTCCCCATCGTGCTTCCACCATGCGAGTTTCTGGGTTATTTCTTCTCTGCGCAGCCGTGTTGCCTGCCCTTTCTCTCCCTTTAGGGCACGTCCAATTTTGTTTTGTGTGGGTTTACCAGGCGTAGTAATGTTCGGAATAGCCGCCTCTACGAACGTGACTCTGATGCCCTGTATCTTCGAGCTGTTGATGGAGCCGAGGTTGGCAGTGTTTTCCGGTAAGTACGATTGATCGATCTATTGGCATCAGAGTAGACATGTTAATAGCGGCGCCTATGCGCGCAGTCGTCATGAGCCGACCGAGTTCCTTGATCGCAGGGAAAAACTTGATCCTTTCAAGTTACACGAGGACAAGGAAATGATTATGGACTTCGGAAAACTCGCCTCCGGGTGAGCCATCTTCCTTCGCCATCTGGTCTCAAAACTGATCTATCCGCATCCAGTAAAGACACGAAGAAACAACCGAACGAGAAACCGAGCCAAGCCCTGGCGCACGCCCTCTTTCGTCGACTCGTGGAAATGGATGAATCGTATGCTGTGAATTTATTGTTGTGACAGCAATAAGCAATTAACTACGTATGCGGTCAATCACAGCGCCTACGCACACAGTCGTCGTGAACCGACCGAGTTCCTTGATCGCAGGGAAAAAATTGATTCTTTCAAGTTACACGAGGACAAAGAAATGATTACGGACTTCGGAAAACTCGCCTCCGGGTGAGCCATCTTCCTTCGCCATCTGGTCTCAAAACTGATCTATCCGCATCCAGTAAAGACACGAAGAAACAGCCGAACGAGAAACCGAGCCAAGCCCTGGAGCACGCCCTCTTTCGTCGACTCATGGAAATGGATGAATCGTATGTCGTGAATTTATTGTTGTGGCAGCAATAAGCAATTAACTACGTATGCGGTCAATCACAGCGCCTACGCACACAGTCGTCGTGAACCGACCGGGTTCCTTGTTCGTAGGGAGGAAGATGGTCCTGCCAAGTCAGACGTAGAGGCTGTTGAGGCCATGTCGAAGCCCTCCTCCGGGTAAGCCATTTTCCTTCGTCTTCCGGTCTCAAAATTAATCCATGCGCATCCAGCAAAATCACACCGACAAGACCGAGGAAGAGTAAGAAGAAGGCCCAGGAAGGCGCCGTTTTCCGTCGACTCATGGAAATGTATTAATCGTATGTTGTGGATTTCATTCTTGTGACGGTAATAAGCAACTAACTGGGTACGCGTCAATTGCAGTGCTTACGTGTAGTCGTCGTGAACCGGCTACGTACGCGCCATCGGCGAACGTGTGACCATGGCGAATTATGTATCTCTAAGCGTGAGCCATCTTCGCTTGTCATCCGAGTCGAAGCATTAATCCATCTGTGTCTAGCCAGGGACACTGGCTACGTCAATGTAGAATGTAGAATGTCGTAATGAATCGGGATCTTGTTGAGCTCCTTCACACGTCTGCGCAGCACCTGAGATTTCGAGAGAGGCCTGAGTGATCTGAGATGCGACATTGTACTTCACCCTACCTGTGGTGTGCGGACTGAAGAGTGACACCCATCGGAGGCTATGTAAGTAATATGCGGGGCGCACTTCGTTGGTACAGAGGCATGGAAGCTGTGTTCAAACCACATGCAATGCATATGATCTTGCGAAAGCACCGATGCGGATCCACATTCAGAATAAGATTATACCACATAACTGCGTTTACCGAAATTGACCAGTGCATGTTCAAGTGTTATGGACCGCCAACAGCGTGAAGCCAGAGCGAAAAATAATGATGTTTTGTTTCTGTAGACAAACGTACGGCAATGAGCCCTACACCGCTGTCCCTAACTAAACTATCAACTGTCTATGTCTACAATTAATCAGTACTTCGCGAACTACGGGGACAAACCCAGCGCCAACAGGAGAAAGCTACGATATGCAATATGGTAAAAAGTACAGTGCGAGTCCGTGCGCGCGCTAGCGTCCAAACCAAGTGTAAGTGTCCGAGTGTCCAATGTCTGAATGTCCAAATGCCCAATGTAGAGTGTCCGAGTGTCCAATGTAAACAGCGTCCGAGAACGTACTGTATAATCCAGTCCATACAGTCCGTGCGAGGGGTCCAGTGTCCGCTACAGGAGGGTGTCCGCACACAAGCCCGGAGAGAGTCCGTCCATGAGTCCGACGTGAGGTCAATAGATCCATAGATGCGTGAAAGAACCGGAATGATCGTGCGGGGCGTGCGCGAGCTCGCTGAGCTCGGCGCCAGCGTGAAATGGAGCGAGAAAGATTCGAAGCGAGCGTAAGGTTCATAAGAGAACGTGACTGAGTAGCCGAATATTGAGAACAAGAGGTGGGAACCGGGCGAGCGTGATTGAGCCTGCTCGACACCCCTGGTTTTTCAAATGCTAGAAACAATATTGGATCCGAGAATAAGCTGGCCTACTTTGACTCCAAAGAATTTTGGACCTTGGCGGCCTGGTACGCTGAACAGCCCCAAATCTGAGTGAGCGAAACCACAGGCAGGGGCACACACACTGGATCGTACCTAGAAGCGGAAACTTCGTGCTGAGCCTGGACATGGCCAGAACAAGCGCGCCAAGTTCCCCGCAGACCTCCATAGAGTTCAACGGCGGCCACGAAGTCTGCAGCCGGACGAGCTCCGACTCCAAGACCTTCGCTGCGGACGACCAGCAGGGCTACAGCACTGTCAGCAGTGGGCCAGCGATGACAACACCCGATAACGCACCCCAACCAGCGGATCCAGAAAGTCAAAATCCACGTCATTTATATGCTTAGAGACAAGAACTAGTGAGCGCGCCGCCCGTAGACACTTGTCACGCGAGACGGTATCACTTTCCATGAACGGGAAATGCAGCCGAATCATGGACGCGTGTGCCAGACAGTGGATGACGATCAGCGTAAACTTGTCCTCCGGCGTTGCTGCCGCCAGCTGATGCAGTGGGAGCAACGTCGATGCGAACCGCGAGATCGTGTGTTCGAGCACCCTGAAGTTTTCCATGAACGAGTTCGACGAGGGCACCTCTGTACAAGCATGTGAGGAGATACACGGCACACGACGAGGGAACACTCACGCGTACTCCAGCTAGAGGAGAGGCGATTAGCAGCCTCAAAGAGCGCCGATGCCTTAGCGCGCAGAGCGACCGTTGAGTAGCCGCTGATCATATTCGCGTTTTGTGCCTGGAGGATGAAGAATCCACGAACTGTTGGGCTCCCCGTGCCAATCGCGATGTCCCCCTATCAGACAGAGACCAGTCAGCACCTATGTGAAGCTTCGTAGATAGAACAGGACCACGCACACATTCATACTCTTCCATCCGCTGGGGCCATGGGGTGCTAATGCAAGTCCACGGGTGGTCGCTGTCAGGGATCGTCGACGGGCGCTGGAGCGCGACGGACCAGCAGCGATCAAGGTTATACACTTGCCAAAACGTCAAGATGCGCTCCCCGCGCTCAATGGTGTCTTTCGCGGGCTCGAGGCGGAACGTCGAGTCCCAGTCGTCCGCGCTCGCCTGCGGCGTGCGCTCATCCATACCGATCTGGTGGAGGCTAAACTGCACCGCGAGGGACGCAGCTACAGTCGCGTGATAGCTGCCCTCGAATAACCGTCCGTTCGAGAGGTAGTACGTCGAAAGGAGACATGAGGCCTGGATCACATCAAGGACCTTTGACGGGTACTGAATCGCGTCAGACATAGCAGCCAGTGTGCGGGAGAGGTAGTGCGGCTCGTGTTCGCTCAGAGAACCTGGTCGCGAGAGATAACAGGCCCAGAGGTAGATGGCATTCATGAGGACGGGGTGACGCCGTTCCGACAAGGGGTTATTGAGAGAGTCGCGGAGACGGCCGACATGAACATCAAGCCCACACTGATGACGATGTGGAAGGAATATCTCCAAACTGCATGGCATGGGGGGTCAGGAGACATGGCGAAGACGACATCACTGATGGGAACTGTCGAACTCACAGCATCTGTGCTAATTCAAACGGCGGCTCTTCTGACGGATTGTATGGATCACTAACTTGACTAGTAGATGCAAAATCCTGGTAAAACAGAATTAGGGGAGACATTATTCGGGGGAAAATGAAACCAACTTACGGTCATGCCGTCCCACTGCTGCTCCCAGGAAGAATCCATCTCTACATGATCAAGTGTCAATTCGGCGTTCGCTGTGCGCCAAATGCACTGACCGTGTGAGAACGGAGTCGGCGAGGCGGACGCTGGAAGGCTGATGAGACCTGGGGAACCATGGCTGGATGAGGAGGATGAGCCAGATCCATATGGTGACGGTGCGTGAGGATCGAACAAGGTGACGGAGGGAGAAGAATGGTCGTGATTCTCGAGCTCCTTTATCCTCATCTCGAGACGGGTGATGTGCTCGCGCATAAGCTGGGTCCTTGTCTTGCCCTTGCCGTCGTCGTACTCGCAGGCATCGGATTTCTTCGCACGAATGCACTGCTGGCAAGCAGGCTTTGCGCCGTCGCACCTCTGAGTGGGAGATGAGTGATGAGGAGAGGGAGAGGGGAAGGGGGAGGGGACTCGCCATTTTTCGCTTTCGACAGCGCAGACATGCTTTGCCTGGAGAAAGGGGTGAGAGAGCGGCACCGAGGAGATGAGATTGATGGCAGACCTCTTTGCAAAGTGCTCGGTCCCGGGCTCGCGGTGGTCAACTGCTTCTCGGCCATTATAAAAATAGTATGTTATGAGAACGAAAGCGGGGCGGGCACGGAGAAGGCTGTGAACTCAATTGCGGAGGCCAAAAGAGGGTGAGCAGGAGGGAGGTCTGGAGGGCGGGGGAGCGAGGGGGCGGGAGGCCAGGGACCCGACGGGGAGAAGGAGGAGGTCAGAGGAGAGAAACGGACGGGGCGGGGGACGAGGAGGCCATGGAGGATAGAGTACTGTACTTTAAGGCGGCAGCGGATGTTGCGGTTCCGGAATGTAGCGACAGGGCGGACAGGCGCCCGCACTGCTTGCCAAACACGGACGCGTGCCACAGCCCTCTCACCCGGCCAATCATCCCCGTCTCTCTGGGCTGCCCCCGACAGCGACCATGGGCCTCCCTCCTCCAGGCTGCCGCCCCATCGACGACCAGCCTACCCGTCGTCCTCGTCGTCCTTGTCGTCCCCGGCAGCGTCCCCACCACTCGCGCACCGTCCGCACGGACGACGAGCACCGCGTCCTCGCGCTAGCAGCCGAGCGTCTGCCCAAGGCGGTGGCCTTCGTATCGGATTTTCCTTTCCCCCTCTCTCCGACCTCCGAAAATCACCACCGTAGACATGTGGTGATATGATGCCTCTACCCGCCTCGTCTAATTTACGCTCACCCCGCTCACACAGATCCAACCTCGGGATTGGCGCTCTCCGGCACCGACGCCCCCTCATCCCGTCGCGCGCTACCGAGCTCTCAGTGACAGGGGGTTCAGACCCCCACCCTGCATTCTCGTGGCTTGTGAGCACATGGCCCCCTATCAATCAGTAGTTACCCTCGTGCGCGTTTGTAATTCCAAGTCGATTCCAAGCCTTGTAATATGCTTACTGCCGCCGGCACCTCCAACAAAGTTCGTTTCCGCCCTCATGTGCCCCTCGTGCTGCTCGTTTCGTCCACTCCAGCGCGCAAAACGTGATGGCCAGTGTAGTCTCGCGCTACTGCCCCGATCGCCTCGCACACATCCGTTCTCTGACGCGGTCCGATCCCCGCACAACAACATACGGCCATTAAGGCGAGTCGCTTCTCGTTCATCACCAAGATGCTGAAGGTCCCGGCGTCCAGAACCGGGAAAATATCTGCGCGTGCCCTTCATAATACAACATACACATGGTCTCCTCCCCATATTATTGCTCAGATGGCTACCTGTCTAGGGTCCCCAGCGTCACGAGTCCATGTGAACTATCGATTCCTGTTCAAATCACCGCATTGTCTGCGCATCAACATGCATTTGTCTATTAGTGTATCGATGAATATGTGCCTCGAGCGCATCGCCCAGGAAGCCTTCTGCAGCACCGTGCCACGATGCTGTTGTCAATGACGCGCTCTTGTTTCCCGCTTCTATGCATCACCAGTAAGCATATTCGCACACTCGTGACCTCAGACGTCCACTTTTTCAACTCAGAAGAAATACAATTCCGCTGAATTCCGGCAAGGCCTTTGTCTGGAGGGGGCGATCCTGACCCTACAGACAAATCATTCTTTAATGTCTCCAAATGGCAGGTGAAAACGGCTGCATTGGAACTGTACCACAAAATGTTGAATCACAGTATGGGTATCTAACCTTTCTTCAAATTTGGCCTTTCCAAATTTTGTTGTCGCACACACAGCAAGGCAGCCGTAGTTCGCTCTTATTGTGACAGGTGATCTGGACACCACTTCAAGATACTTCTCCTAAAATCCTCCTCTCACTGTCCATTATCAATCGGAGCATGCGAATACAACCGGTCGGGGATGAGCCGTGTCGTCTGTGAATTTCGAAATACCCCTGCCGACGGGGAAGTGGACAGCAAAGAAATGTTCGATCTTCGTGATCAGTCGGTCGGAGGTCTGGCGTCGGGCTTGGGTACTCCTCGGATGGCGTCTGTGTTGACACACAACAATGGCTTCCAGCACCCTCAATAAGCGTTGGTCTTCCAAGCCCAGCAGTACGCATTAGCATTGAGACCAACTCAACAGTCTGCAATGCTTTAGCTTATTCCTCACGCTGGTTGATCAATAAGCCATCCAATTCAGTGTCACACATAATGAAAGACCTATCGTATTCCTAGTTGGTGGTTCCTATGCTACAACAGCGTGTGCTCACGCGTCGGGCCCACAACTCTCCGTGCGCTTCTCAGCGCCCGCGTACTCGGTCGCCCAGGTGACGCCCGCTACAGGTATGCGACGTCCTCCTCCCGGTGACCGCATGGCTTGCCCTGGCGCGTGATGGTGAGGGCTGCGTCTCAGTGTCTGAATCCGTGAATATCGGTGGCGCTGAGGCTGCACGGCGTATATCGGAATCATGATCTTGCGCTCGCCAGCTGTTGAGGCGCATACACGCAATGAGATAGCTAGTTCACCCAGGAAGCGAGTCTGTCTTGGAAGAGCCGGTGACACCAACTCGTCGCCACAGAATTTGCGCCCGCATCTGGAATCAGGGCGCGGGACTACTAGTACATATCATGCTTCTTGGGGTCGCCCGTATGCAAACCTTGATCATTAACGTCGTTAGCAAAGACTGCGATAATATGCTAAGGATAATCAAAGGTACACGGTGGACCACACTCGGTTGGGTCCGGCGGCTGAAGAGAAATTCAAACTAGATCTGCTAGCTAGAACCGATATAATAACTAGGCCCGTGTGTGCATTCCCTACATTGTACATACACCCGCGATCAATGCATACGATCAGTCAGATGATATGGCAAGCTTGTCGTGCCCCCTCCATGCAGCAGGTGATCGCAGCAATGTAACGTTCGTATCATCCGCGATGTTCCGTACACGCAGCACGACCGGCTGAAGGAGCGACCTCAGCACTAGCAGTCGTCCTTTCGCCACTATTCGCGCACAACGTATGGATAAAAAATCCATTTGGCGCGTTTCGCTCAGGAGTCAAATTTCCTCGCTGCATGACACATTCACCGATGTACTCGGAATCGGACGGACCTGTCAATCGAAGTTTGTCCCACTGCACCAGCCACTTGGGGTAATCACATTCGATGTACATGCTCAATTGGCCGTGATGAGTCTGTCCGCTGGATGACGAAGCACCGCGCCTCTCGCCAAAGACACTCACTCGAGTCATGGAGGCGGGATTCAGTGAGCGCATATCAGATCAGTTGGAGGGCGACAGAGTCTCGGACAGCAGTCCCTCTCCAGGCCAGGTCGATGCGCACGCTCGCCCGTAGACCATAAAGATACACGGAGAAGGACTGGGGAGAAGGACTGGGACATTGTGAGGAAAACCTAGCAGCACGTTGTCAACATTCGTCACCCAGCGTATGCAGCAGCATAGTTTCCTGTTACCTTGCGACATCGGTCTGGATGTCGGATACTACGGGCGCACCGTGCAGTCGGACACGTTCAAAGTTTATCAGCCGCTCTTGATGTAGATATATCCTGTGCCGTCTGCCACCGTGATAAAGGGTGTCGATGGGCCGAGGTTATTGTACAAGAGCGGGGGGCAGTAGCATAGAAGGAAGACTATGTCACCCCGAGTATCAGGCGATGCAGAGGGCGGTGTGATAATGGCAGTTGCACTGCTCCGGGTCCGGTGATCCCTGCAATGTATCTTTGAGTGAAACAGCAGATGGTCGGACGATGGTGCTCTTGCGCACTTCATTAGACCCACCAGCATAAGTCTATCAGCTTGTCTCAACATCAAACACATGACACACATACCGGGAATTTATTGTGGTATATCCACTCTACCCTTCCTCTCCAATCACCTCCAGGTAGCTCCCATTCCAACGAAAAGTGGGGACGCTACGGCCTGCAGCTCGGGAGTTGGGAGCATCATTGCAAATACGTCGAGGATATTGCGGAGGTAACAGACTCGGGGCTTGTGGACCTGACAACGGTGAACGAAACTCAGTCTTAAATCACGGAACATTCGAGACTGAGAACATTTCCAACGGCTAGCCGTAAACTCAAGGCAAATATTCGAAGATCGTTAAGACTGTTGACCAGATTCAGGGATCACTGCGTGCGCTGCATGAGGTGTAACCTGGGTCCGCAACGTTCGCAAGCTCGTGTCTCCAACCTGTTCGTGCCTCATACCAGGGGCTCAGCGCCGGCTCGCACGTGTGCCGGAGCTAGAAGAATGGTCCGACCCGCTGAATAGTCCCCATCGGTAGATGTGTGTGTTCTCTCCGCGTAGACGAGAAACTAGCACTCGAAGCCTGGGCAAAGATGGGTGTAGCAATCGGATATCCGGACAGATTGCTAGAAACAAAATATGAAAGCCACCAGCGGTCGTTGGATGCCTCGAGGAGCGGAAGGTAACGGATGTGAGACACGACGCAACTGGGCGGCATCTTGGTTGCTCCCCTGCAAAGCGGGTGTGGGGCTGGGGCAGCACGCGAGAATCTGAGCTGACAAACATGTGTTGTAAGCGACTCCAAATAGCAGCACTCACGTTTGATACCCCTGCATCGTCCGCCACGGTGAATACTTCCAAACTCGCCTTGCGCATATGATCTTGGTAAGAGAAGGGGCAGTAACATCAAGGCCTCAGGGCAAGCGGCAGGGAAGCTAAAATAAGGGGTGCTGTGGACGATGTCCAGCTTCCTTGCCTCGTTGCTGGGGATTTTATCATGATATAATACATGACAAACGTAACACGGCGAGGAATCGCCTGTGATTCGGGAATTATTCCCCGTCTAAAATCCTGCACAATGTACACTGATGGCCGTTTCCCTTCCGTAGACTATTTTGTCTCTCCTAATAGGTCTGCCTCATTTTAGGAAGACGTAAAGCTCTTGAAGAACTGTAGACGGAGCATCTCGTCGATCAAGTGAACCACTACAATGCGGTTGCGGCCTGCTCACTGTGGCAAACGCACCGCCTAAATAATTGGTGATACTCGCCTAAACAGATCAATTGCCAGCCGTTCCAGTTACTCTGCCAGGGGACCTATTCCCACAAAGGTGTCGGCGAGACAGCGTCAGTACTAAGGCTGTGTCGCCTAAACACAAAATGGCGCCGCACCTGGGTCAAGAGGCAAGACCGCAGCACGCCGGGAGTGCGGAGCCAACCTGCGTAAGACAGACCGACGTGTGCACCGTACGAGTCGGTTTTCTCATGTGGCCGTACAGTGACTGCTATCTGTATACCGACAAAGCCCATAGAATTTCATCTACATGTTATTTGCTCCCGATACACTAAGCAGGGCCAGTGCCTTTTACACAGCCATGGATCTCACGTCAGTATCATCAGACTTCGATGCTGGATACAAGGAGACTGCTCACCGTGTCATTGGTGTGTATTCATGCACGAATAATGAGGCATATTGAAAGATCACTCGACGTGCTCGTTTCGTGCAGCCGGTTCGACGGTATCACGGCACCGCTCAACAGACTGCGGGACCGATAGGGCCATCTTGACCGACATGCGTAGGTAGAAGACAGTCGATTAGACAATTCCCAAGGCGGAACAGACACTCCGGGATGGTGGAAGATCAGCTGTCCCAGGCAGTGCAACGAAGTCGGAAGCGAGACGTCAAGAGACAAACAGACCACCCTAGGACAACCGTCCATCAGCAAAGTCTCATATCACCGCAACGCTATCGCGAGCACACCCAAAGCACTCAAGTCGGCATATTCTGGAACCTCTTTCGTCTTGATAATTGACCGTTGGACAACGCGAGCGGTGCCGGAGTGGTGGCGAGGGATCCATCGTAGTAAACACCCACGCCACCGATACGTATTTGATGTGCCATTCGCCGTTAGGCAGAGCTACGGCTGTCCCCGATCACTTCATGTGTCGATCGTGGCCGTGGCAGATGGCTTGTAGTCTCCGTCAACGCAGGCATTATTTTACGACATATCTACTAGGACATGTGGGACAGCAAAGCGACAATGAAAGCGTTGCACTATGCTACAGACGAGAAACTCTACGAGCAGCGGGAGGCGCTAGCTCCAGTCTATGGATGCGGCTTACCAGTCGAGGCAGAGGCCAATATAAAGGATGTATAAAGAGCAGGACGCAGTAGCTATGCACCGTGTTGAAGGGCACGGACTGAGCAGCCATTGCGTATTCGAGTTCAAGATACGCAATTGAGGGGCAAAACAACGAGGAGAGGCCTGCTGGAACTAGCAATCGTCCTCAAATCCAGCTGCAGAACGGATCGAGTCTAGCAAAATGTCGTTGTAGTCACCCCCGGCCTCCCACATAGCAAAACCACGCAGATTCGTAGAGGCAATGTACTTGCCCTTCGCAGCGAATGATTCGGCATTATCGTATGAGATCATGACGTCTGTGCGACAATTGTAGACGTATGGCTATAAAGACCTCATGCGAATCAGCGGCCTCCGGTGTCATCGTTGTCAAAGTTACCACTCACCGTCTGGCTGCATTCATCATAGCGGTAGTCAACGCCCGCCGCGACGGTGCCATTCGGGAAGAGATAGCCCCCGTCGATCATCCCCCAGAAATCAAACACGCCTGACGGGCCCGTATTCACGCCGCATGCGTCAATGTTTGTTAAGTTGTCCCAAGCATCACCGAGGGGCTGTTCGCCCTGATTGAATACGGGGTATGACGCGAGCACATTGTCGGATATAACAGCGTCCGCTGCAGCAACGAGGAACGAGTGCCCGTAGGATGCCACGCCGAGCACGATCTGGTACGTGGGCATGCCTGCCGCGGTCCATGCAGCAACGGCACTGACAGCGCTGCCCTGCTGGTCCACAGCAGGCGCGCACGTGTCGTTCAGCGGCGAGTTAGGCCCAACGGTCTTATCCCATGAACCCCAGATGTCGTAGTTCATGAGATTGACCCAGTCAAGAGTATCAGCGAAGCCGCTGATATTCGTTAGTGAGCTGCCGTTGGCGCCCTTCCAGGGAGTTATAGGAGCAGAGGCTGTTAGTGTCAGGTTTGCACCAATAGGATCAGCACGGAGGGCTTGCAGGAAGGCGAGGAAGTTGCTAGTGTCGTTGACGGAAACCACGTTGCAACCAATACCCTGGACACCGGGATACTCCCAGCTTCCGGCATGTCAGAGTTATAATCCCAGCTCTAGTATACTGGACTCACTCAAAGTCCAAGCCACTCAAGTTGTAATTCTGGGCGAATTCAGTGACGGTCTTGACGAAGGCAGTGCGGTTCTCCTCAGAGCCAACGTTGGACGAGAAGAATTGGGAACCACCCCAGCCGCCGATGGAAACCATCGGGACGACGTCCTAGTCAAGAACGCGTTTAGAGTGGCAATCAACATGTCTACTTTTCAACTCACGTTCTCCTGCGCCATCTGGACAAACCGAGGGAGAAGTATAGCATCTGACCCATTCAAGGTTATATTGCTGACTGTGGGCAGGGTTGTACTAAAAGCAGATCAGTTAGGCAACTTAGGTGAAGTCTTACAGCTACTCACGCGAACGAATAAATCAAATGTGTGTATTTGTCCCAGCTCACGTTGTTCAGGGTGAAGTTGTCTGCGTGCCAACCAGCATACCAAGCAGAGGAGACCATATCGACAGTGACGTTGGTAGCATTGGTAGCAGAAGTATCTCGAGCATGGAAAGGAAAGCTAGTTGCGTGCGTGACAGGAAGAGCAAGGAGACCCAAAGAGAGTAAGGATAACATGACGACCGTTTCAAATGAATGGAAGGATGCAGCACGAAGCTTCAGATTCAGAACTCGAAAAAAACGACAAGACTGGACAACAGCGAGAGCCTTCCATGGCGCACATTATATATGTACGGAGCTGAACCACGTGGGCGATCCAATCTGGCAAGCGCAAAATATCTCGGCTGGCACGTTGAAATCTGCATGAAGTTTTCGCAGCTCAGAGTTGTCTCAGAGTCACTGCAGGCTACTGGTATCGTTGTTGACTTGCTGAAAATTAAAATGAGCAAGGCGTGTTGGTCGAGCAAATGCGCGGCCTGGCGTGAGTCAGAGAAGAATCGGCAGTTCCCGAGTGATTGTGTCACGAGCAATCTGGATCGCGGCGCAGTATACCAGCCGTATAAAGTACGCGCACCGGTAGCCGCGACGCTAGCTGCCTCCTCGCATGCAGTCTGATTAGTGATATTCTGGTTTATAGAGGTCACTGGTGAATGAGAACCTCTGCGTAGCCTTGACACTGCCATATCGTGTTCCCTCCGGCATCGCTGGCAATGCCGAACCGCAGTCAATAATGCATAATGGCCCAGCCCCGCCGGAACCTATAACTTTCAAGAACTCTTTGGTATTTAGGTAAGCTTTCTAAGGAGCGTAGCTCCTAGACCACCTTCCCTAGCTTTCCAAAGGAACCTTCTCATGCAAATAGTTCACAAACCCTCATCATTTCTACATTATCAACTTTGCATGTGTGCTCTATAAATAAGCTAGTAAGACCGTGACGGACCAACACTGAGCTCATCTTACTTCCTGCAGTGAGTCTTCAAGCTCAATGCCTCCGAGCTAGCCTATATACATACAGCCCTCTCTCCAGGTCGCAAGTCTATCCAAAGCTGCAGAGGTTTCGGTTACAACTTCGAGAATCCGAGACCCGGGAATGTTCTTCGCGACTCGCGTCGCGCGACCAGACGCGTCCGATGCGTGTCCTGATCACATGACGTCTTTCAGATTCTAATCTGCCTCATGGCCTATATGAGCTTGACCCGGATTGTGTCGCTCTCCAAGCTGCCTTGTCTTGCTCCCCGACATAGCCATGTCTGGCAGTAACACATCCAGGACCCGTCCGCCACCTTACAACGATCCGTCCGGCAATGGTAGTGCGACAAGACTCAAAGAATGTTTTGCGAACCTCGTAAAGGACCAACTTGACATCCAAGAGCTCTTCAAGTCGGTCGCCGGAAAACTGGAGACGACGCCGCAGATTGGCGAGTGTCACACTTTATGTGAGGAATGGAACAAGCTGCGCCAGGTCAGCTGCTTCAGGGCGTCTTTATGTGCTTGCAGATTCTGAAGCGACGCCCGTTAGAGTCATCGGAAAGTATATCGCGACTCTCAGCATAACGCTGGACAGTGCGCAAGCTTCCTAAATAGTTCGTACTACTATTGCATTACTCTTCGCGGTGCGGCATTGAACGTGTGGCTGGAACAGACTATGTGGAAGTCATCGTTCCATTGTCCCAATCTCGTCTACCACTGAAGGACAAGAAGCTGATGATCATGAAGTTCATAGAGGTCGGTCATCGACTGTATTTTGGGCAAGTATTGCTGACCTGTATGTGTGAGCAGGCAATCACGGCGCACCAGGACCGTGCCAGGAAGTCTGCAGCAAAGTTCCACGAGATCGGGAAACAAGTCGAGATCTTCCAATTGAAGATTGCTAGCGCGCTCAGAGGCCAAGCAGAACCCAGTGGGTTTTTCCAGTCTGTCTGGTCGGGTTTCGAAGAGTAAGTCGATGTTGCGTATCTACGCTAGTCGCAGACTTACGCTCGACAGGATATGCATGTCGATCTGGCAGGTCAGTTTGAAGCACACCTAGCACTTGTCACTGGTTTCACCGGCGCATACAGGCACTGTACAAACTGCTCAAGGCGATTGTTGACTCTTTCCATTCGATGCTCGCACGCATCAGAACGATCCGATTCTTCTGCGGTACGCTCCACCTGTGCATCTCGCTCGAATTATCTGATTATGATGGACAGGTATCCGTGTAGACATAGAATTTGAACGCTGTGCGTTGCTTGTGCCTATATGCGTATCGCAGCCGACCTATTCACATATGGCGATGCAGATTGCCAAGTGTCGTCGGAGACGCACGAGATACCTACCAAGGTGACCGCGCAGAAATTCAAGGAAGAGCTCAAGGAATTGAGCGACAAGCTCAGCATGTTTGAGGAAGCGTGGCACACAGTGCGATTATGTTGTTCAGACCTGTTGACTACTGTCGCCATGGCCAATAGTCTGACGGTAAGTATATTTTTTTTGCAGCTCGAAATGTCATCGTTGCTTACCGTGCGACCATCAGTCCGTCCCTGCTGCTTGCGACAAGCATCTAGAGTCGGCCGGAGTGGTGTATGCGCCATTGATAGAATGTCTGCGAGCGTACTCTATGGGCAGGTCCCCTGATGTTTGAATTGCGCTCTCTGATTTAAGTTCTCTGATTTCTGGAACGGATGGAGACTTGATTCCTTGTAATAGTAGCATATCATTGTTGTAGTCTATAACGGATCGACGTGTATGACTAAAATATAATGTATCTTGCGGCGCCGCAGCTACTCATCGTCAAATCGCGATGGGCGAACGCTATTCATGATTATAGTGTGCCGCTCATTATCATATCCCAAGATCAACCCTGTGCGATTTCGTATGTTCAAGTGAAGTGGTTCAGGGACCTGGGCCTCTAAACACCAGATGCGTTCAGGCAGTTGGTTCAGCGACTGGAATATCGGATCATGACTGTCGCTACTTCGGACGCACATGCGATGTGAACGTCGAGACTAGCTTATCGGCACCGTCGTCTCGAGCGCGCACATATGGAGGACTCAAAGCAAGCTGCAGAGGCGAGGGCCTTTTCACGAAAGATCGGGACTGAGTGTGATCATGACTGAGGTCGGAAGATGCGCACGCGACACGCGAAATGCGCCACCGGCCCACCGCCAAGTTTTCTGAAAACGGCAATAATCGGCTAGCGATCGTACCACTCACACGCGTTCGAGTGGGTATTTCCAGCCGGACGGGTGGGATGCCGTTTCCCTCGTCCTTTTGCGCCTTCCCCCTCACTAGCACCTAGAGGATCGCGTGGTGTGGTCTCCGCTTGGTTTTGGCTAGGTGCTATGAATTCAACGGCTCCTGTCTATGAGTCAGCTGGCGTACTGTACGCCAACACCGACTTCACCCAGTTAAACTGGCTGGAGACACAATGGGCTGCGTGGTACCTATGGATAGGAAACCCGGTCATCGCGACGGGTCTCATGAGCTTCCTCCTTCATGAAGTAGGTGCATTTATCCTTAGAAAACGCGTCGAGTGCTCACATGTTTGCGTGTAGATCGTGTACTTCGGTCGCTGTGTCCCATGGATCATTATAGATGCCATTCCATACTTTCGGAGGTGGAAGCTGCAGGCGGGCAAAGTCCCGTCCCCCAAGGAGCAGTGGGAATGCACGAAACAAGTGCTGTATTCCCACTTCACGATTGAATTACCCCTGGTTAGTGATTATGTTCCGCTTTCCTGCTGAACGGGGTGATGATACAGACCAAAGATTTGGTTTTTCCACCCTATGGCCGAGATGTTTGGCATGTCAACATGGCAAGTTCCTCTGCCTGCACTCAAGATTATGGTACCTCAAGTCGCATTCTTCTTCGTCTTCGAGGACATGTTCCATTACTTTGGTCGGCCCCATACTCCTTGATCGTACTGCACCGTTGCTGACTTTATATACAACAGCTCATCAGGCACTTCACTGGGGTCCTTTGTACAAGCACATCCACAAGATTCACCACAAGTACTCTGCACCATTCGGTCTCGCGGCGGAATACGCTCACCCTGCTGAAGTCGCCATACTTGGTACCGGTACCCTCGCTGGACCTCTGCTATACTGCTTCTTCCGTGGTGACCTTCACATCTTCACGATGTACGTCTGGATTACGCTTCGCCTCTTCCAAGCCGTCGATGCGCACAGTGGCTATGGTATGTCAGACTACTTTTGCCTCCTATAATCACCTGACCGTGCGCTGTGCAGACTTCCCTTGGTCATTACAGCACATTCTTCCTTTCTGGTCCGGCGCTGAGCATCACGACTTCCATCACATGGCATTCGTGAACAATTTCTCGACTTCATTCAGATGGTGCGATCGCCTCTTCGGTACAGATGACAAGTACCGCCAGTACTGTTTGCGCCGGGAGGCCATGAAGAAGGCCAGTGCAAATCAGAAGGATTTCATTGCCTTGGAGAAGAAGATGCTGGCTGAGATCGAGGCGGAGGGTGTCCAGGCTGAAGCCATAGCTGAGTCGTATCGCTATGGCGAAAAAGAGAAGACCGCATAGATACCTTATGGACAACGTTTTGCGTACCTTAATATATCGGATGGCGTCTTCCAAGTTGCTTCCGTTCGGATTTTCCGGTTCGAGGGAAGATGCTGGCAATTGTCGCAAGCCTGTATGAACTACAGAGACTAACAGCTCCCGCTATTTTTCTAGGTATCTCAGAGTATTTTGACCGTGTTGTTGTCGTACTGGATGTTTTGCTGCCAGCCGTCAGATTTTATATGATCTCGTACCCAAACGTGTCGAAGACATTTTATAGACAATATGGGACGGAGTTGACGCTTGTAAAATACTGATGTATTGTAACTTACACGTAGACGCTTGGTGGTTAGAAATAGTAGTGCAGGGCTAATCGCTATGTGTTCAGATCCCCAAGCTGGCAGCATCGATTTTGGAGCTCGGACAGGAACTTTGAGGACACGGTGGAAATCCGGCTGGACCATGAGGCAGGTCCTAATCCCTTTTTACCGAAATGTGAATCCATCATCCTACAGGTTGATGAGGACTGTCTAGTTCTGTATGTATATATTCGAGATTTCAACTTGGTGGAGACTCAGGAGTCGGGATATCCATATGAGCGTTGTGGCACGCTCACTCGTCCTTCTCAGCGAATCCAGTCGCTCCCTAGTACCCATGCCTAGTCATCCTGATACGGATTGGTGTCCTTCGACTCATGTCACACTCTACCGTACAGTTGTCATGTAGTATTCGGTATGACGAAGTCTTTCGTGAGTCGTGAAGAGCTGAGGATCCTCACATGAATTGCCAGGCCTCATATACAGCGACCTGTCGACTTTGCGCCGCAACGCGCGATAACAGGCCTCGAATGCGGAGTATCGTAGTGTTTCACGAGTCAAATATCGGGGCACACTACTGGCCGTAGCGGTCCGCTGAACATGATGCGTTATGCCGCGAGTGATTCCCTGCATACTAATCGGAGAGGAGAACGCCGCTGAAAAGGTGTTTTTCGAAAGGGTCCAATCTCAAATCCATTCAAAAGCGCTTTCCGGGCCAATGAGCGAGTAGATCGCCCGAGGTACCCGAGTATCGCTAAACGGTTCTTTACCGATGTAGTTGAGAATGAGCCTATTCGCTTCGTCTGGCGAGGACAGTATTTCAATTTCGACAAGATCGGGTTGATTGATAAACGGGCCAGGGGACTCCGAGGCCGAGCAGACCGAATCATAATACAGAGTATAGCCTTGAGACTCCTAGGTATGTGACTCGCGGCGTAAGCTAGTACGACTGTATAAGAATGCTCGGTATTCCATTAGTGAAGAGGTAGACCAGCTATCTCTTGGAACCATCGCACCACCGCGGCGACCCTGCGTACGGCCGCATCGCTGAATCCCAGCCGCAAGTCTGGACGAAAGCGACTGTCCTCTGGTATGTCGGGCATGGTACGATAGCAAATCTCAAGCCTCGACTTGAGGTAGGGGGAAGCCGTGAGTGTGATCGGGATTGCCTCGCCGGTTTCAGTACCTTGATCCGCAGACCAGGACGCAAGAATATCTGCAATGGATTTTGTTAGCACAACGGCTTCGTGAGGATAGGGGACGACAAGTATGTAGATTACTGACTTTCCAAATGCACAACGTCCCCTCGCTTAATCCTCGTTGTGGGTTCGTCAGGGTCTGCGCCCCCCCAGCTTTCTGCAACTTCGCGCCATGCTGTCAGCTTGCAGATGGCACCGTCCTCGCTGCCCAAGATCATCCTGAGAAGGGAGACTTCCTTTCCCGCCTCTACACCCTTCTTAATCCGTATAGTATCTGGCCCTTCTACTTCGAGCACTGCAACGAGGATTGTGCATCTCTGTGAGAGTTTCCGGGTTGATGGACCTGATCGTGCCGCTTGCGCTTGTAAGCCAGAGATAGTGAAAGAAAGGGATGCCAGGGCATGCAAACTAAAATGATAAGAAGGGAATCGAGCAATAGATGATGCATCAGAATAGTTATATGAAGTCCCCTCTTGCGTTCCCTGAGTCTCGAACTGAGAATAAACCCTGGAGGACGTGCGTTGTAAAAATGTTGTCCCTGTCTTAGATGCTGTCGGACTCTGTACATTTTCTTGCGTCGGAAGCCATGTTATCGCAGTGGTCTGCTCTGCAAGGAGCACGAGTCAGAATTCACATCAAGTAATTCGCTTCCAGAGTATCATATCAACCTTGTACCTCGCTCAGTTCTACACCCCTTTCAGGGACATCTCCGCTGAAGCTTTTCTCTTGATCATCTTCATCGCTGTCATTATGGAAGATGATGTTTTGGTAAAGCAGGGAAATTCGACGGCTCGCAGCTTCTAGGGTTGCCGGAGGGAGTGGATGAGATGACAGCTCCGCTGAGGAGACAGTACGCCAATGATACGAGTTTGGGTCCCGATTTAGATCAGCAATTGAGGGCGCACCGGTAAACACACGGTATGACTTTGGCATCGTCACCCAGACTGCAGGACAATCGAGTTGGTTCGGGTCCTCCCGGAGCGATGATTTTGTAAGCATCAATGTACGTAGAACTGCCATAATCACAGCATATTGACCGGGAAAATTCTGGATATACATACAAAGTTCCTATATCGTCGTCATAGAAAATACCATATCTTCACGCTGCGAATGTGTTCAATCCCATAACGCGATTTAGTCTATTGGACTGCCTCACTGAGTTCGTGCTCTGAATTCGTTGAATCCACCGCCGGTAAGTAAATTGTGATAAGAAAAGTTCAAGTGCCGCGGGACAACGGATGCAGGGAAGTGAATATTAGCCTCCGTGAACGTTGGTAAACGCTGAAGATCTGGGCTCAGATTTGCGATGTGTTAAAATCGGTCACGTGTCGTCGATGTAACTCGCGAGTTGCGGATGGCTGCAGCAGTGTTTGCTCGCGCAACTCGCGCACACGACATCCAGTGGTATCAAGAATGTCTCGTAGCCTTCCCACATCACGTCAATAGCTCCTCTCTGAACATATCCGGTTTTCCGACCTTACCCTTACACTATCCACTTGCGCTCTCCGGTCATGTCCTCTAACAAACCGGGCGAACGTACAATTCTCATACAGGCACCACAATTGAGAGTAGACCGCTCTTATGGCTCGCTTCCGGCCTTCGTGGGATCCCCAGACGATATAGATGACATGGGAGGCCCGCAGATACACAGAACGGATGATGAAGCCCCGCCAATAGCTGAGTCAAGTGGATCGCGACCTACGTTCGGAAGGAGCGTTTCATCCTCAGTTATTCATCCTTCTCGACCAGGTTTGGACACACATTCCAGAATACTCGGGGTCTCAAATTCAAGGCATCGGCGCACCATCTATGAGCATCCTGTCACGCGCGAATGGAGCGTGTTTGGTGAATTATACGAGGCCGAGGACCAGCTGAGAAATTCCGGTCTGCCACGCCATCGTCAGAGAAGAAAGGGTAGTCACCATCATGTCCCTGGTCGCGTCCACTCGCGTTCCATCTCTCATGGTCATGGTGCACCCTCAATATCTATTACAGAAGAAACGGTCCAGTCGCCCGTCGATGATCCACAGCTAAGCAGCTCTGTCACTGACATGGAAGGGAACTTCTCATCAGACGATGAATCGTCACGCTCAACCTCAGCATCCTCTGACACTCGTACACCCAATACTCCTCCGAAGACAGCAACAGAGCCGCGTAAATCGCGCCTTTCGTTTCTCGCGCTATCACCTCTTCATCGGAACATTCTCAAATGCGCGGTGGCGTACTTCATAGCCTCCCTGTTCACGTTTTCACCTTACCTCTCTGGACTCATATCTGACATGACAAATTATGGATCGGGGGAATCTCCTCCGTCGCCATCCGGACATATGGTTGCCACTGTGTGAGTGTGTATTTCGCTCATCATTTGGGCAGATATGCTGAGGATTGTACAGCGCAGTCTACTTTAATCCTGCTAAGACCCTTGGTGGTATGGTCGAAGCAGACATATTCTGTCTGACGGGACTATTGTTTGCGGCATTCGTCTCTCTGAGTAGTATGTCCATGTTCTGGTTTTTTGAAGTGCAGCCTGGCTGGGAGTGGCTCGCAGACATGCTTGTACTTCTGTGGATTGGCATGGGGATGTCCGTTGTCGCATACATGAAGGTATGGATGGCAAAACCGTCCTTCAATACAGGTGGGTAGCGTTACCGCGTGTTCTTTTGCCTTGTCTTAAAGTGGTATAGCTTGTAGTATGACAGCCATAATCCTATTCGTTGTGTAAGAGGATCTCACTGTGCGTTAGTGCTAGCTAACAGCTGTGTCAAGGGTGGTCCGAGAGGGTGGGCTCGAAACGCTCCTTCAAGTCTCTTTCGTTATATCGTGCGGCGCCCTAGTTTCGAATGTCGTGTGTGCTGTCCTCTGGCCCCAGAGCGCAGCGAAGAATCTGCAGGACACCATGACCAAGACCCTTCAGTCATTCGCGACGCTCTTGGATCTAATAACAGAGACTTTTCTCCTAGAGGAACCCCGACATCAGCTAAGCCACGAGAAGATACAGCGGGCTGTGGACAGCCACCAGGCCAGTTTTACGAGCCTGAAGAAACATTTCGCAGAAGCACAATCCGAATGGGTATTTGGTGGCCCGCGGAAGACAAGCAGTAGCAAGATTAATAAGATGCGGACGAGTAGGGGCGATGCATACCAAGACGCCATAGATAGCCTCAATCGCTTAGGGCAACACTTGAACGGCCTGCGAAGCGGGACAGCTTTGCAGGCTGATTTGATCAGAGCGCAGAGGAGAGGAAAATTAACTCTGAAGGGTCGCTCAACAATGCAACACAAGAAAATGCAAGCTCCGGACTATCTTTCCCTTAGGGCAAAGGATAAGGTGGACCCTGATGTGACCGAGGATGAGGAAGCGGCTACCTTGCAAGACGCAGCTATGATGTTCAGCGATCTCATGGACGACCTAGGTCCGCCTTTAAGGAGCCTTTCGGTATGGGACAGTCGTGATCACTTTCAACATTTTATCACTTCTTTGACTTCAATTCATACTACAGGGAACCTGTATCACAACTTTGAAACAGCTCCGAGAAGCGTTTGTACAGCCTGTGCGTTCGGATGCCACCCATGCACACCGTCCTTTCCAAAATTCTGCGGATAGTCTACAGCGAGCTCTTTTCACATTTGAGAGCACCTCAAACCAGGCTGTTCTGCGATTGTATAAAAGTTATGACGCGTCTGGAACTCAGTCCAGAGACTCTGTCGAATCTCCAACTGGTGAAAATCGCTTATTGACAGGTGCAGACGGCGAAAGCGTCTTCCTCGTATATTTGTCGGTCCATCCTATTGTTAGCTAAGCAGAATCTCATGCCTAGAGCTGGCTTCGTTACAGCTTTATATTCACGCTTCAGGAGTTCACCAAGGAACTAATTTCACTCGTGGACGCACTCGACAGATTGTGCGCTGCAGAGGCTGCACGTGCCGCATGCCGGGGCTGGTGGAGACAATTTATCAACCCCTTTAAATTCGCAACGCGGTGGCGATCTTCCCGCGAGAAGACAAAGGATGGCGGTCTGCGAAAACGATTATGTGCGTTTCAAATGTAGATCATAGATGAACACTGACCTCGAGACAGCCGCGTATTTTGCCCCCGAGTCCCGCCGAAAGACAGTACTCTTCCCGAAAATCAAGCCTCACGCACCTAATACAATGCAGACTCCAGCTAGGTCGAATCTCACGCTCATCGGTAGATTTCAGCAATCTCTCTGGGCTCTTGGGGCACGGTTACGGGAACAAGACACTAAATATGCGATCAAAGCGGGTATGGCAACGGCTATGCTCGCGGCACCGGCCTTCTTTGACTCTACTCGGCCTATGTTCGTGCATTACCGTGGGGAATGGGCGTTGATATCGGTGAGCACAGTACAAGCGCTACGGGAAGCCAGCATTCGAGCTCAATGCAAAATAGTTCTTTGTTGTTATATCCCCTACTATTGGAGCGGTGAGTCGCTTTTCGATTTCAATAGACAGGTGTTATGGACTCATCGTGTCGGCTGAAGACCAACTTCTTGGGAGTGCATCGAGTTTTGGGCACCTTGTGAGTCCTGGTATTGAAAAGCTCAATCTGCGTGTTGAGATGTCTTCCGTGTCAGGCTGGGTGCTTTCACGGCGGCTGCGATTTGGACAGCTTTCCCAGAGGATCCTTATGTCCTGTCCATTTTTGGCTTCTTTTTCTCTATTCCTTGTTTCTACTACATCGTCGGCAAGCCCGAATATGCGACATCCGCAAGGTTTGTGCTACTCACCTATAATTTAACTTGCCTTTACTGGTGAGTAGTCGTCCGTACTATATAGCGTTCGAGGACACTGACAGGTCCCTTTATGTCGCCTAGCTACAACCTGAGGCAGAAAGATATTGAGGTCACTGATATTGCCTTCCATCGTGCGCTTGCTGTGACGGTGGGGGTCGTCTGGGCTGCTATCGTGTCCCGCTTCTGGTGGCCCACGGAAGCAAGACGAGCCCTTGGCAGAGCTTTAGGAGAGTGAGTGGCCGTATATTCTTTTGTAATGTCATCATGCTGAACTATGGTAGCTTCTGTTTGAATATGGGCTGGCTATACACTCGACTGGTGGCATTCAACTCTTTTTCCGAGGCGGAAAACAATTACGACCTCGATGGTCTCACAAGCTCCGAGACAACTGCACTCTTACAGGACTCAGCTCAGAGGTACCTCACAGAGTCTATTCATGATTTCATGGCAATGTGAGTGTACAAGTCGTTGCATACTTAGATATTCCTGATTTGTTTGCATAGGGAGCTACATCTGCAGGTTAAGTTGATCGAACTACAGGGTCTTCTCGCCCAGACTCAGCATGAACCTCGTTTGAAAGGGCCCTTTCCAGTGGTCTTGTATCGGTCAATCTTAACAAGTTTGCAAACAATACTCGACAAATTGCATAGTATGAGATGTGTCACGTCGCGAGAAGAATGGTCAGTACCACCCCCTCCTCACACAACACTTAACTCATTTTGCGGCAGGCATACGGTATTTCGCATGTTTCTTCAACTCTCCGTCCGCCTAATGATAGCCGCAGACTGTTCGTCGCGACTTTGTTCTACCCGTCAATAGGGAGAGACGGGAGATGGTCGGCAACGTCATTCTCTATTTCTCAACTTTAGCTGCCGCCTTTAGATTGAAATCACCTCTCCCTCCCTATCTTCCTCCTGCCGAGGAAGCTCGATTGCGTTTGGTAAGTATACGATGTACTACACTGACATCTGATATTGATTTTATGAACATAACCTGCACAGGTCGATGCAATCCGAAAGCTTGACGTTGTAAGAAGTCGAGATGTACGAGGGTCCAGACAGTTGCTCTTTTTCGCGTATGCTCTCACGATGAAGGGGGTAATTCAAGAGCTCAATTATCTTGGTCATGTTCTCCAAGAAGCCTTCGGTGTCATTGGACAGTCGAGAGAGGAATTTGAAGCTCTCTTCAAGGACACTGAACGTGTAGATAACACCCTTGTTGTCTGATCTGTTAGTCCTTCAATATACCATCCTGCCGTGATGATAATGAAGGAGCCGTTGGCACGAGCGTCCGAAATCACGGGAATGAATACGCAACTAACAATATCGTGCTAACGCGATTACACGAAATCTCCGCCGCACTCCTCTATCGCTACGTCTTAGTCCAGTTCTTCTTCCTTTGTTCACCCGCCTCACGACCAGCAACTTTCTTCTGTATCCTGTCTAACAGAGATGTACTTGGCAACTGAGAACGCGGGGGAGAGTCGTGTTCCGCCGCCTTAGCTGCGCCTTTTATGCTGTACCCTCCCACTGGATCCTTGTCCACGTCTTGTGAGTTTATTGGCCTGGAACGGTCAATACCATGTGCTGCAGATTGAATCCGACCTCTACCAGGTGCCGATATTGTTCGTTCTCGTTCTCTTGCTATCGCCGAATGGCCATTCGATGAGGTAGATGCCATACGGCTGAGGAGAGACGGTATATCGTTGGTCTCAGACCCGCCGCCTTTCTTCGCCCGTTTCGCTGCGCGGGGCTGGTCTTCTGGAGATGTCGGACGGCTATTTTGCGCCATCTCAGCATCGCCCATAACAGTGGATGCCCGTTGACGCGCTTGTGGTGTAAAAGACCGCTGGCGATCTCCTTCGGGGAACTTATTTCTTGGTCCTCCATTGGCGTGAATAGAAGGTGGTAGGCTGGTTTGTGGCTTGGGTGGTAGACCCGCTGCCGACCGGTCTTCGTTCTTTCGCTTCACGTTCATGATTCGCCGCTCGAATTTAGCTGGAGCGTTGCTGCTGCTACTGGTAGCACCTTGCGAAACGTCAGTAGTGCCTGCTGTCGGTACCGACGCCGTCGGCGTTTGCGGCTTGGAGGCAGACGGTATAAGAGACTGCTCAAACAGAGAAGAGAAGATCGTTGGACACAAATGGCTAAAATTAAAGACGGCCCATTGCGAACCCTAATTAGAAGTTGGATATCTTCAAAATTATCCACTCCTGCTTGCTGACTTTGAGATGTTGCGAGTGACTGGATACTTTGAAGGATGCTCGTTAGATGGGAAGGCACGCCCCACTTGTACTGAGTTCTATGCTGTAAGAAGTTCAGAAAGGACATCTGTCGCATATATAGGCAAACTCACTCGTTCGCACGCTCGCAAGAAGACGATACATGCTTTCCATGGTTTTCGCTCTGCGGAGTTTGCTTCGCTGAAGACCTGCCATGAAAGACAATGAGTGGACGCCAGTTAAGTGCAGACCGTGTACAAAGTCTTGCAACGACTTTACCTGGAGTAACAACACACAGACATCGGGAATTTGTCTTCTCAACATTGCTGTGTCTGCATCCGATGCGCCTGCTGCTTGCGGGGGCCTCTCCTCATAAGCAGAGAGGACGTCGGCAACATGAGATATTACAAATAGTTGTGCTTCCTCGTTCAACCTCATTAAAATCATCTTTGAAGTCATGGATGTGAAGTAAAAGCGGAGTAGCTGTGACGGTTGAGCAATATGCTTCTCAACCGCAACGTACGATGAAAGCTCCAGATAATACCGCGTCTGTTGCAACGATACCCGTTCGCTTCCTGGAAGTAGATCGGCCTTTAATGCAACCTTGGCGCGATCAAGGATAGCTTCCAATAGCTCCTTCCCCCGTGCGGATGCTGGTTTGAAAGAGGGAATAGAAACTAGAATATCTTTCACGAGGATTTCAGCGTCCACGGGAGTCAGCTTGGCAATGCCCTAGAGAGCCGTGTCAATGGCCAGTGACTATCCAACGTGACAAAGAAAGAACTGACTCGAAGTAATCCAGATACAAGCGCTTCCTCGGCTGCACCTCCGGGTATACTTGTATGTCGTTCGATAATGGCACGCTTGGCCTCACCGGTAATAAAAGACAGCACTAATGAACGAAGCCGATTTCGGATGGCAACTTCTTCGTCGTCCATGGACTCATCGGCTGGCACAATCTGGTCGCATAGCACTCCAAGCGTGACAGCAGGGTTCAAGTCGAGATGTTGGCAGAGAGCCCTTTTAACCACAGACACTTCTTCCGGTTCGTCTGACGTGCAAATGGGTTAGACTCAAGTTCGAAACATGATCCTCGTGAGGTACTGTTATATGAAACCAGGGGAATTAAATTGCTCGCGTGGGGAATAGAGCAGGTTTTGAGCACAAAGGAGATGCCACTTGTGGCACAAGAATTAATGGACTCACCGCTTTGAAGTAACTGCACCAAGACATCTGCATTCCTCTTCACCCACTTGGGCTGCTCCATGGAAACGTCGACGATCGCCCTATATCCACTTATTCTAACCTAGTCATAGTGTTGTTCCAAGGGCTGAAATCAAGGTTCTGCAAAGGCAACATACATTTGTGACAGGGTCCTCGCATAAGTCGTATACTGCATTGATCGCGTCGTCTTCAAGATCTGGAAAGTCCTTGATATAGTTTTTGAGATGTGCGGCGGCAAGAATCTTGAGTTTTGGGTAAGGTGAATGTGCAAGGTCAATCAGTCGTTTCAATGCGTCCCTACGCTGTCCATAATAGCAAGATTATGAGCGCATTCTCCTCGAGAGAAAGATGGAGATGCACCTGTCCAGATGTTTTGTTAGGCATTTTCTCCGTGCGGCGAACCATATCGCGCATATCCCTCTCCTGGTCTTCCTGGCTGCGCTCGTCCATGGTGACAATGGCTTGGATTGGATACCCTGACTCTTCCTCAACACTGGCTACGCTTCTGCGTCCTGAGTTGGCCAAATAGCCACAAACAGCGTTATAATGTACCGGAAATTCGGTGAGCGAGGGCAGAACAAAGTCGCCACTACAGCGAATCCGAACGTGCAAACAGGCGAAGAACGTCGACAGGCCGCTTACGCTTGAGCCTGGTTCAGAAAGATTGTGATATAATCTCGTAGGCTTTTCACGTGCGGGCGGCTCGGGTCGAACTCGAGTCCCCGTCGGCCTCAGGTTGTATATTAGTACGCGGCGTTGTCCCGTGGTGCAGTGGAAAGCACGCTGTCTGAAGATGCCCTTCTTGAGTCCCGTGGACATCTTGCTTGTCGCCTTTGCTTGTGCTCCCATCGTCTACTTTGTGCGCTCACGTCGAGCAACTAGCAACACACCAGCATCCACAGAGAAACAGGGGGAGCCCAAGTCCATCATGCAATCTGCCAGGGACGACCTTGCGCCTCCGAAAGCCGACCCGTTCACTCTTGATGAGCTCAAGCAGTTCGATGGGTCGGATGACTCTAAGCCTATCTATGTAGCGATCAAAGGTCTGCCTCGATCGCATACTAGATTCTTGTTGATGAAGAACATACTCAAACGTGATACAGGCACTGTCTTTGACGTTACGCGCAAGCGGGACACATACGGGACGGGCAAGAGCTACAACCTCTTCGCAGGAAAGGATGCATCAAAGGCGTTGGGGATGTCGAGTCTCAAAGCAGAGGATGCCATCTCGGACTACAGCGAACTGTCTGAAGGAGACATGAAGACATTGAATGATTGGCACGACTTCTTTTCGTAAGTCCCATCCTTATGCACGCCGCTGATTGATCGCTCGGTCCTCAGGCTAACACTGCGAACCTGCAGGAAACGATACGATGTCGTTGGGAAAGTCATCGATCTCCCACCGCACGCGAAGCCTACGTCGACCTCAAACCTGTGATCGTATCCTTGTCACCCTTTACTTTCCCTCGCAGTATGCGGTGCCTGAGTGCGCTGAGCAAACAGATGAACCGTTGTATAATTAGCTAGAATCCTTACTTATATCCTGACACTTTGATCCCCGGAAGAAAAGTACTGCCACTGCGTTCACTTTCCCAAAGGATTGCGCACGTACAGGTCATACCAATCATGCACTCAACAAAATCAGCTCATTCTCCGTGACACTCGGGTATTACTCACCCACATGCCGAACTGCGAAGCCTCCGCTGTCCGCAACATGATCTTCATGCGAACATCTTTCGCTTGACGCTCGATATCTACGTACGGCATCGTCATCACTGGATCAATCTACCGCTGATTGCATCGCACAAATGCAGCCAATGATTGGAAGTTCGATACTTGCATGCGGCATGATGCGCATGACACCGGGAATGTACATCTCATCTCCTTCTCCATCTCGTCTCGGTGTACATATCGATTCGCTTTGTATGTCTTTTACCATGCACTGGCTCCTGGCTCCTTGGAGATGTATCATCAACCTGAACAGAAGATCCTACTGAAAATTGAAATATTTACGTTTCGCAGTGTACGCACTACAACATCGTCCTGTCACTGACCTTGTCAGACTCCATGAGGCTCTTCCAGGTACAGTATATATACCTCTTCGGGAAAGCCAGTCCCCAGTACGTCTATAATTACTGTTTCGCTGTCTGGGTTGGACAAGCGTCAGCCTCACTCAGCTTTCCCGTCATCTGGCTCATCATCGCAGCGATCCACATCATGGCTGTCAGACTCAAACGGCC